AAAATTGTATAATCTTCAAATTAATGTAGAAACAACATAAAAACAGTATATTTTTTATATTTGTTTAATAGCATCTTTTTTATGACTGAAGGCGAGCATCACTGATACCAATACTACTAATGTCTCTATGAATTTTTTTTTTTTTCTAATATATAACCATTTACTTTAGCCATTCAACATTACAGTATAATTAAGAGCTATCAATTTTAACATTTATTAGACTTTTAAAAAATAACTTCTACATTGAAGTGAACTTAAAACAATCTTCACATAAACCCATTATAATAAATGTCATATTGTGCCCTTCAGGAAGTAGGAAATATACAGAAAATTTAATAAAGTTATCAAACACTAAATTCTAAATTACCGTATTGGCCCGAATATAAGACGACCCTGATTATAAGACGACCCCCCTTTTTCCAGATGTACCTTTTGGAAAAATTTACAACAGGCATCACATTACATATTTCATGGCACACTCGTTTTATGCGGTTTTGGCGCCACCTAGTGTTGTGGGTGTATTATTGACATGTCAAAGTCTAGACCCTGAATATAAGACGACCGCGTTTTTTCAGATGTATTTCCAAGAAAAAAACATCGTCTTATATTCGGGACAATACGGTAGATATATATAAATCATTAAAGCTACAAAGGTTATTGATTTCCTCTTTTTTATTTTGTACTTTGATTAACAGACAACACAGCATCTGGGTTATTAGGTTATTTTGGCTGCCGCTGCTGAACTTGACATGCATGATTCTGACATGCATCCTATTTTCTCACAACTCTTTACCTTTTCTGACCCATTCACCTGTACCTTTTCCGCACTCGTTTGACTAGTGCCTAGCAATGAGGCGAAGTTGGAGTGCGCGTCTGAAAAGTCTCCCGTTTGATGTGCTCGTAAAGACGTTCTGCATCTAAATAAATCAAATTCTTGTCAAGAAAAAAGATACGGAAGCAGCAGTTGTGAGTGGGGTGACCAACCCTGGCTCCGCTCCTGAGTTAATTGTGTTAAAAATATTTAACACGTTAAACTGATAATTTTTTGTTATGCTGGTTGAAAGTCTCTTCACATCCTGATGGCAATCACTAAGTTAAGTGGTCTAAATGTATTTTTATGTATTTATATTGGTTGTTTGTCCAATCACATCCCTCGGTCCGAGGGCTACAATAGGCTGTCCTACCTGCCTGTCAACGTGTGTATTTTTTTCTATTCTATCTGTTTTCTTTTTATTTATTATATAAAAAAACAACAACGACAAAAGAAAAACCCTTGGTTTTAAGCTAACTGAGACTTGTTATAGCACTTGCATATCATTGCTCTCTTGTTGATTTTGATTGCTTCCATTGTCCTCATTTGTAAGTCGCTTTGGATAAAAGCGTCTAGGGATGTAACGATTAACCGCGAGCCGGTTGAAAATCGAATTAAATATGTGACGATTCAAATCGGTTGAGATGCTAAACAAATCGCTATTCAATTAGGGGTAGGAGTTTATATGAATGTATGTCTGAGGGGAACTTGCTGTCTTAAGATGGTATTTTTTCTTTTCATCTTGCCTCTGTATAACACATATTAAAGTTCATAAGTGCAGCGCTGCTTTGTTTACAGCGGAAACCAAGGAAACGCTTTAAGCGCCA